GAGTAGGGCACTGGCCCCATATGCCAGAGTTGGTGGGTTCAAACCCAGCCCCAGCCAAAAAAAAAAAAAAAAAAAACCCAAACAAAGACCATATGATTCTCTCAATTGATGCAGAAAAAGCTTTTGATAATATCCAGCATCCTTTCATGATCAGAACACTTAAGAAAATGGGTATAGAAGGGATATTTCTTAAACTGATAGAGGCCATCTACAGCAAACCCATAGCCAATATCATATTGAATGGAGTTAAACTGCAATCATTTCTACTCAGATCAGAAACTAGGCAAGGTTGCTTATTGTCTCCACTGCTTTTTGACATTGTAATGAAGTTTTGGCCATCGCAATTAGGCAAGAAAAGGCGGTCAAGTGTATCCACATATGGTCAGAAGAGGTCAAACTTTCACTCTTTGCCAATGATAGGATTGCATAACTCGAAAACACCTGGAGTTCTACTACAAAACTCTTAGGAGTGATCAAAGAATATGGCAGCATCTCAGGAGACAAAATCAACAGTCATAAATCTATAGCCTTTATATATACCAATAATAGTCATGCTGAAAAAACAGTCAAGGACTCTATTTCGTTCACAGTAGTACCAAAGAAGATGAAATATATGGGAGTTTATCTAACAAAGGACATGAAAGATCTCTATAAAAAGAACTATGAAACTCTGAGAAAATAAATAGCTGAAGATGTTAACAAATGGAAAAACATACCATGCTCATGGCTGGGAAGAAACAACATTGTTAAAATGTCCATACTACCCAAAGCAATATACAATTTTAATGCAATCTCTATTAAAGCTCCACTGTCATATATACTTTAAAGATCTCAAAAAAAAATAATACTTTGTTTTATATAGAATCAGAAAAAACTTCGAATAGCCAAGGCATTACTCAGAAATAAAAACAAAGCAGCGAATTACACTATCAGACCTTAGACTATACTATAAATCAATAGTGATCAAAATAGCATGGTACTGGCACTAAAACAGAGAGGTAGATGTATGAAACAGAATAGAGAACCAAGAGATGAACCCAGCTACTTACCATTATTTGATCTTTGACAAGGCAATTAAAAACATTCAATGGGAAAAATATTCTCTATTTAATAAATGGTGCTGGGTGAACTGGCTGGTGACCTGCAGAAGACTGAAACTAAACCCACACCTCTCACCATTCACTAAGATAGACTTTCACTGGATTAAAGATTTAAACTTAAGGCATGAAACTATAAAAATACTAGAAGAAAGTTCAGGGAAAACTCTTCAAGAAATCAGCCTGGGTGAATATTTTATGAGGAGGACCCCCCTGGGCAATTGAAGCAATACCAAAAATACATTACTGGGACTTGATCAAACTAAAAGGCTTCTGCACAGCCAAAAACACAGTAAGTAAAGCAAGCAGATAGCCCTCAGAATGGGAGAAGATATTTGTAGGTTATGTCTCTAACAAAGGTTTAATAACCAGAATCCACAGAGAACTCAAACATATTAGCAAGAAAAGAACAAGTGATCCCATCTCAGTGTGGGTAAGGGACTTGAAGAGAAACTTCTCTGAAGAAGACAGATGTACGGCCTACAGACATATGAAAAAATGTTCATCTTCCTTAATCATCAGAGAAATGCAAATCAAAACTACTTTGAAATATTATCTAACTCCAGTAAGATTAGCCCGCATCACAAAATCCCAAAACTGAGATGTTGAGATGGATGTAGGAAAAAGGGAATACTTCTACACTGCTGGTGGGAGTGAAAACTAGTACATTCCTTTTGAAAGATGTTTGGAGAACACTTAGGGATCTAAAAATTGCCCTGCCATTCTATCCTATAATACCTCTAATAGGTATATATCCAGAAGACCAAAAATCACATTATAACAAAGATATTAGCATCAGAATGTGTATTGCAGCCCAATTCATAATTGCTAAGTCATGGAAGAAGCCCAAGTGCCCATCGACCCACAAATGGATTAATAAATTGTGGTATATGTATACCATGGAATATTATGCAGCCTTTAAAAAGATGGAGACTTTACCTCTTTCACATTTACATGGATGGAGTTAGAAATTATTCTTCTTAGCATAGTATCTCAAGAATGGAAGAAAAAGTATCCAATGTACCCAGCCCTACTATGAAACCAAGTTATAGCTTTCATATAAAAGCTATAACCCAATTATAGCCCAAGAATATGGGGATAGGGAGGGAATGGGAGGGGGGAGGATGAGTAGAGGGAGAGTGATTGGTGGGACTATGGTGCATCTTACGAGTACATGTGAAACTTACTAAATGTAGACTACAAATGTCTTAACATAATAACTAAGAAAATACCATGAAGGCTATGTTAACCTGTTTGATGAAAATATTTCAAATTATATATAAAACCAGCACATTGTACCCCATGATTGTATCAAGTGCACAGCTATGATTTAATAAATAAAAAAGAGGAAAGAAAACTTCTTGATGCATAATTTGAATATCATTAAATTCACCATTTTAAGGGTCAAATTTAATCCTTATTAGCAAATTTACCATGTTATGTGACCATGAGTAAAATCCAATTCTGAAACATTTCCATCATCTATCTTTCACATAAAGTCCCTATTTCCACCACAAACTCTGAGCAACCATTAATCTAGTTAGGTCTCTATAGATGTATTTTTCCTGGATTTTTTATTTATGTAGGAGAATATTGCAGTATCATTTGGTAAAATTATATTTGATTTTTAAAGAAATTTTCAAACCATAGTGTTTTGATTATTATTGTTAACTTCATAATCAATTTTGAAATTACAAAGTAAAAATCTCAATTATTCTTTTTTAAGAAAGACTATTTTTTAGAGCAGTTTTAGGTTCACGGTAAAATTGAGAGAAAGGTAAAGTGGTATCCCATAAGCCTCTTTCTCTTACATGTGCACAGATTCTCCCATTGTCAGCATTCCTCATCAGAGAAAGACATTTTTTACAAAGACAACAAAGACAACCACAACATTTACAAACAAAGTGAGTTTTATGCCTTCCTTCCTAAATAGCATATCTTTACTTTCCTTTGCTAGGGCTTTCAGAGGTCATCTTTGGCTTGTTTCTAATCTTAGTGGTAAAGCCTCTAGTTCCTCACCATCAAGTATGTTAAGTATAGTGTTTTTTGGTTGAAAATTCTTTATCATGTTGAAGAAGTTTTCCTCCCATTTGTTTTTGCTTTTTTAAAATTATTTTGGCTATTCTGGGTTCTTTGAATTTCCATATGTTTTGGAATCAGCTCACCAAATTCTATAAAATGTCTTCTGTGATTTTGATAGACATGCCACTGAATTTATAGATCATTATGAGGAAGATTACGACCTGAACAACACTAGGTCTTCTATTCTAAAGCATGGACTGTTCATTTAGATCTTCTAAGATTTCCTTTGATGATGCTTCGTAATTTTCAACATATAAATTTATTTCCAAGCCTTTAATATTGACACTATTGTGAATGAGAGAGAGAGATTTGAAGGTACTCCCCTGCAAGCCATGGCTGTGAGAAAGTGGGTGTAGCCAAGGTATAAGGTGGCCTTAGAAACTGGAAAAGGAAACAGATCCTTTCCTACAGCCTCTGGTCAGCCAACACCCTGATTCTTAAGTGTGGCCTTTTGACAGAATCCAAGTTTTACATAAAAAATCTTTTCATTAAAAGGGGTACAGCAGAGAAAGATGAAGTTTTTCTTGCCTCCTTTGGTGCTTAAAAAGGAATGGTCTTGACATCAGAAGGCCTGCAGGTTCTCCACTATTTCCTGCAAGTATATCCCTTCACAATTATTTTGATTATAATGAAAATGTCTGAATAGATTGATGGTTAAAGATGTGAAGAAATGAGGACTAGGTAAACTGAAACTGGGGCACAAGCTGCACTGCTTCACAACACGGGCCTGTGGGTATGAGGAATGTGAAGTCTGAACTGTGACCACCCTCAGCCTGGTGCGAACTTAAGAGTCAACATTATGTTCAATTTTATCAATTTAAAGATGACCTTGTTAGCCACAAGTTAGTGCAGTGGGGCTTGCATGGGTAGAGGTTGGTGTGGCCTTGGACAAAACATTGATAGGGTAAATTGAAGATGACACAAATAAATGGAAATATATCCCATGAACATAGAATAGAAGCATTAATATTGTTAAAATATCCATAATACTCAAAGGAATCTACAGATTCAATGAAATCCCTATCAAAATTCCAATGTCATTTTTTCAGAGAAATATAAAAGATCCTCCTACAATTTATATGGTACCACAAAAGACCTCAAAATAGAAAGGCCCCCAAAGACACCCAAAGACTCCATTCAAAGAACCCAGAATAGCCAGAAAGAAATCTTGACCAAAAAAGATCATCACATCATGTGTGAAGACATCACACTACATGATTTCAAACTATATTACAAAGATATAGTAACCAAAAAAGCATGGTAATGGCTAAGGATAGATACCTCTAACAAAAGAGTGGGGCAGAAAACCCAGAAATAAACCCACACTTACAGTCTAACACACCAGGGGAGAAGACAGCCTCTTCAATAAATGGTCTTGGGAAAACTGGATATCCATGTACAAAAAAATGAAAATGGACCCTTATCTGACCCTTATACAAGGATCAACTGAAAAGGGATTAAATACTTAAATGTAAGACCTGAAACTGTAAAACTAGTAGAAGAAAATATATGGGAAATGCTCCATGATATTGGTCTGGGGAATGATTTCTTGGATATGATCCCAAAAGCACAAATGACCAAAGCAAAAATAGTGCAAGTGGGATTGTGTCAAACTAAAAAACCTCTGCACCACAAAGAAAACAATTAACTCAGTGAAGAGCAAATGACCAGCTCTGACAAGTAAAATGAAGACCTACATATCCAAAGTCCACATTTTTCTATTTTTGTAGCCCTAGCCATCACAGATGTTTAAGTAAAAGTCTTTTCCAGAGTTTTTACTTGAAAGTATGTATTTATGTGACTCACAAGAGCAATACTTACTGGTGTTTTCCTTGCGGGAGCTGGTGTCCCGCTCTTCATTGCCCACCGGGGATGCTCCTCCACTGTCACTGCTCACAGGTTTTGCCAGATCCTTCAAACCCTTGGACATTTGCCACTTTTTCCATACCATAGTCCCTGTCATTGTCGCATCTTTGCTCTCTGAACTCCCAGAATTCTTTACCTCTGGTTCTTTGACGGCACTTGCAGGTGTTTCAACTATAACATGACGTGTGCGTTACTGAAAAAGCTTGAATTCTATGAGGTCACAGCAACAGACAACACAGATGGGGCACAAATTTGGAGCGGGTGACTGTAAAGCTTTTTTGCTTTTAACCAGAGCACAGAAAAATAGACCTTGGTATCTCAGAGGGCAATGTAGGCGGCCCAGGTGGGCAGTGTGTTTGGAAGCTGCGTCAGGATACTAAAACTTCCCATAAAGAAAGAGGCTTTTAGGAGCTGAGACTATATAAATGGAAATGATTATCCAGGAGAAATTAGGACTGCCATGGAGGTGGGCCCTGGAGAAAGGGCAACCAGTCCTTTGCTGACAACGGTTCGTGCATGGATGGGGTCTCCTTTATGGGCAGGGGGCTCTGCGTGCAGGCACTTATCCAAAATTGTATTAAATTAGAGCTGGAAGGGGATTTTGCTTGTAACACTATAGAACTGGAAGGTTTTTCCTTTAAATATTTCATTCCTACTTTTCCCAGAAAAACTGTGTAAAGCCTCCCAGGACTTCCCCATTATACAGACATTATTTCCCTATTTATCAACTGCAGGTGATCAACTTTATGTTACATTCTGCATTGCCTGAAAGGTAATAGATAAAATAGTGCTGCAGACCATGAAATATTGAAATAAAAGGCAGACACTTGGTGGTCTAGAGTTGGTTCTTTAAAAGCATTAAAAGTTATGCACCTGCTAGAGCAAGACTGATGAAAAGAAAAAGGGGGTGAAAATAAAATGTATTCCAATAATTTGGCAAAATAAATGTTAGGTAAAAATAATTTTTTATGGGCGGCTCCTGTGGCTCAAAGGAGTAGGGCACCGGCCCCATATGCCAGAGGTGGTGGGTTCAAACCCAGCCCTGGCTAAAAACTGCAAATAATAATAATAATAATAATAATTTTTTACCTACAAATAAATAAATTTATCTTACCTAGGTAAAATAAAATTTTCATAAAACACAGTTTACTTTCCAGACACAGGAAGAGAGAGAAAAACCAAATAGACCCATGAAGTACATACAAGGCTAAATTGATGAAATGCAAGAAGAGGCAAAATCCCTCCAGCCGGTGACCAGGTTGGAGAAGTGATTACCCCGAGGGAGGAAGGGAGCTGGTAACAAAGGAGGAGGACTTGTGGGGTGAGGTAAGTGTTTTATATCTTGATCTGAACAGTGGCTCCTGAATGTATTCAGACGCAAATAAGCTTCCTCTGGTAAGACTTGTGCCTTTACTGTGTGTTTGTTAGAGGACAAGGTCAGACCCTTGAGTCCTGTTTTTCACTAGGCCCTGCCCTTGGTTGCTGACCCCCTTTTAGTAACCAGTCCCGTTAACCCAGTTTACACAGCATCCATCCACCCACCCTTGTGGTCCAGTCAAGTTCCTCTTGGTGATTTTCCATCTATTCCCTCTCCTGCCTTATTGGTCATAAATCCCTACTTGTCCCTGCTGTATTCAGAGCTGACTTCGATCTCTTCACCATTTCAGTAGTCTTGAATAAAGTTTTGTGTGTGTGTCAGTTTTAATGTCAGTTTCACTTTCTTTGCAACTGTTAATACAATTATTTTTAAACAGTAAACTCTATAGCCAAAAAAAAAGAGAAATTAATCTTATTCACCTTTTTGTTTTTGTGCTAATGTTACATTAATTCTAACTGTTAGAGGAGTGAGTGTGTTAGGAGCTAGAGATATTTCGAATCCCAACTTTGTCACTTTCTAGATAAATGACTGTGAAATGGGAATAGTAATGTCTCCCTCGCAGGTGCTATGGGTTAAAGTGAGATTAATAAACATGCAAAACTTTGCACAGTGCCCTACCCAGGGTAATAGGGTTAGGGTGATGCCAGCTGTTCACACAGCTCCTCTTAAAAGTTAAGGGATAGGGCCTGTCCGCAGGCTGGCTCCATCTCGGAGTATCTTGTAAACTTAAGAAATTATTGACACTCTCTGCACTGATGTCTTATAGGTAAATTAGAAATATTATATGCTCAAGAGGGTTGACGCCTATTAATGGAATAATATAAAGCATAGTGCCGGTTCCAAGGCAGTTACTTAATAAACTAAGTTCATTTTATTATTATGATTCTTCTGGTTACTTGTTACTGTTGAGAATTATAGCAGCAGGCCTGCCTTCATGTCCCCACTGCCACCTGCCAACTAGCTTGCACCCTCATCTCTGGGTTCATATTTACTTGTGGGGGTGGGCAGGAAAGTAGGACCTAAAAGTGAAAATGAGTGAAGGTGATTTGAGCGATTTGAGAATTTAACTGTTATCTGAAATTGCGTAACTTTTTACAATCCTGAAGGAAAGCGATCCCGAAATGTTTCCTTTTACCAAGCATGACCCACTCGTTTTCAAGAGTCAAGTCTCTCTGCCCTGTAGCAGGCCGGGCAGCATTCACTGACCTTCCTCCGGGGCTTTAGTTTGGCTTTCAGACACAGGAAAAGTCTCAGGGTCAGGTGTCTTCTGAATGAACCGGCTGAGGTAATGCAAACGAGCCTGAGAAGCCTAAAGAACACACGTTAGCAGCCTTTTAACGTTCCTGAAAACCAGCAACCAGCGGAGGCAACAGCCTATTAACGGTGCTCAGTCTCAAGGGAAACGGGAAAGTGGGAATTGACTAGGGCAGTTTGAGCCAGGCCAACCCTCCTTAATTAGCCAATAAATTCAAATTCAGAACCCTCCACAACTAATACACTGGGCATGCGATCACAGATTCACCTGCTCCTGAACCTTTTTCATCTGCCCAAGGTAAGCTGTGTTGGAATATGAAACACTTAACTGTTTTCAGGATGGGGATCTGTCAGGTTCAGGGATGGGAGACTAGGCATGCAAATTCCACAAGGGGGCAGCACATGCCTTTTATATTAATAATATTTGAAAAATACCTATCCAAGCTGTCCAAAATACAGGAAAGCACACATTATACATTTGCATGCTTTCTTACTTGAGGTGTTATGGGAGGACGTGGACACAGAGCTATGGAAAAGAATGAGGTAGCTCATAGTTTGGGTCTGTAAGTGGAGCTACCACGTACTTTGTTGTGATTATCGGGAGGGGAATATTTCACATCGTTTCCAAATGTGGGCCTTCAACATTTGGTCACGCAATGTCCGATAAAATTCCAGATACCATTTCTAAAGGAAAGACTATGAGGTTTGACCAGCATGACTGTTTTCTCAGACCTTCCCTAAGGATGAAAAGTAAAAACTGCCAGTGTTTCTAAGTCAGGTGACCTTGGTGGCTCTTCCTGGCTCTGTTGTCTCCCAGGCTTGCTTCATGGCTCGGATTTCGTCTGCTCGCTCTGTATCTTTTTTCACTTCTAATAGTTCGGATTCAGTGTGTTCAGTGACCAGCCTCAAAGTCCAGTAGGGTTTGTTTGGGTCTTCTTGCTGAGAGTGCACAGTGGATGTCTGACAAGATAAAATAGAAGCCTTCGGGTAGGAGGCTATCCTTTCAGAAGGGTCTAACTTTTACCCTCTGATACATAATTTTACTGTTAGCTGTTTTATCCGAGAGAACTGAAAACTTGCATTCACAAAAGACTTGTACCAGAATGCCCATTGCGGTCATAATAACACAAAGAAGGAAACATAAATGTCTACCCACTGGGGAATGGATAAACACCTTGTCGTCTATTCATATAATCGGGTGCTACTTAACACTAAAAAGTAATAAACTACTTGTACACATCACGGTAAAACAACATACGCAGGTAAAGAAGTTGAGCACACAAGAGTACATCTCGTATCATTCACTTATATGAAATTCCACGACAAGCAATGCTAGTCTATGGTGACTAGATCAGTGGTTGATCAGACATTGAAGATGGGGCACAGGGTGACAGATTGCGAAGAAGTTTGAAGGTAGTTTTCAGCTTGTGGAAATTATCTATCATCTATATCTTGATGGGTATATGGATTATATGGTGAATACACTTGTCAAAGCCCACTGAATTGTACGATTGTACATGAATTTTACTTAAAATTGTACATAAGAAATTATAAATTACCCTTATGCCCACATATAGAATCTTGTCACAAGAATGAGATCAAGATAGTTGGTCATTTTCAGGTCTGGATATATTTGCTATGTATCTATTATGAAAGCTAACAACATTTTGATGGCTCCCAGGGTCACTTCAGTGGACTATAGTCTGGGAGCAGAATGATAAAGGATTTGATAGCTTGTGCATAGGTGAGGCTCATTGGTGGCAACTGGCTAGGAAGGCAAGGTTGAAACTGATGAGGTTATGCATCACTTTACATAAGGTGGAGACTGTTTTCATTATCCACGTCAAATGATGTAAAGCTGGGGAAGGGCGGATTGGTACAGATACTGAGTAAAGTTTTCATGTGAAGGTTGGTTTCACTGTTACCAAAAAGACCTTACTTCCTACAGTATTTCCCAAATATTCTGATGAGAACTGTGTCTCACAAATGGAAATTCTTTTATTTCTTCCTTTTAAAACAGTGTGTTCACTTTTCTTTTTAAACTTCTTGATAAATGAGTTTATAAAAAACTTTCCTGGGGTGCAGTTTTGACTGGGGAAGGGAGCACCATGAAGGTCGTAAAGGAAAGCCACGTGTCTTGTAGGAACATATGGATTGAGTTAAGCTTATTTATTTCATTTTTAAGGGTAGAGTTCCTCTGGGAAATAAAATCTTTCAAAGGCAATGGACGCTTCCTGGAGCCTGGTACAACGGAGTCATCATGGCTTCTCTGTATTTGCTAAGTTTCCTTCACTGCCTATTTTACCAGCAACATCCCACTTAGTTAATCCTGGAAACCTGGGAGATGCACCACTTGTTCCTTGACACTCAATATGGCTCAATAATTACATCAGCTTTACCTGGCTAATCCAGGCAGATTAGGACCCATGCTTTCTACCACTGCACACACTCTGTTTATTTAAAACACACTCTGTTTTATTTATTTAAAACTCTGTTTATTTTTAGTCTCTTCCATTAGACTGGTGAGTTCTTTTAGGATAGGCACCAGATCATATTAATCTTCAGAGCCAAAGTCCCAAGAAAAGTGTTCTATGTACTAAAAGTTCAATGAATGCTTTTGATACTGAACTGAAAGGGGAAACTTGGAGGAAGTGTTCAAGGAAAGTTCTCATGATTTCTAGATGGTGGTTGGAATCAGGGGGATAGAATTTTTCATAGTTTTATCCTCAGATGAGCTAGGCAGGCAAGCATCCACGGAACTCTAATTCATTAAGTGACTCCAGTTTTACAAGTACCATACTCACCGGAGGCTCAAAGCGAGGTGCTTGTTTTTCTTTGGCTGTCTTTTCTTTCTCAGACGCCTTATCTTTGCCTTTCCTTGTTGTCTTGGAAGTTGCTGAAGATTTCTGCCCCTCGCTAATTGTATGGGAATCTGGGCTTCCCATGGTAACTAATTCCTCGTGTTTCTCACTATGAGCTAGAGAGAAATAAAAATGGAAACCATTGAGTTGTGATATAACAATAAAACCATTTCACACAGGGACAGGGGAAGTGGTTAATCCATGAGATTTGGGTTTTCTTTTTGTAAAGCAAACATCTTCTATAAAGGTATGTGTGACTCCTTTTTATAAAACTGACAAATAATTCGTATACCACTAACTTGCCATTGAAATGGATAAATCAATGGGCTTTGGTACATTCCTAAGATTATGCAGCTGTCTCCACTATCTAATTTGTTTTCTATCTGGGTAATTTTTATTTCACTTCTTGTATGATTGCCCTGTCTAATACTTCCAATATAATGGTGAATTCCTTTATCTCTGCTCTAATCTTTTTTTTTTAGAGACAGAGTCTCACTTTGTTGCCCTCAGTAGACTGTCTTGGTATCACAGTTCACAGCAACCTCCAGCTCTTGGGCTTAGGCGATTCTCTTGCCTCAGCCTCCCCAGTAGCTGGGACTATAGGTGCCTGCCACAACACCTAGCTATTTTGTGTGTGTGTGTGTTGCAGTTTGGCCAGGGCCAGGTAGGGCAGATTTATTAATGACAAATATTTTTTTCATATCTTAATTTCTCCTTAATAATCCTTTATTTTTTAAGAATAGTTTTTCTGTGTTTAAAATTCTGGCTTGACAATTTATTTTCAGTTATTCGAATATGTCCTCATACTGGCTTCTGATCTCCATGAGTTTTGGTTAAAAAATCTGTGATAATCTTATCTGGTATCCCTTGTATGTGAGAAGTCACTTTTCCCTTGCTGCTTTTAAAATTCTTTGCCTTTGCAGTTAGTTTGATTATGATGTGTCTGTGTATCTCTTTCATTTTATTCTACTTAGAGTTTGTTTAGCTTCTTAAATGTGCCAATTCATGTTTTTCATCAAATTTGGGACATTTTCAGCCATTATTTCTTCAAATACCTTTCTGCTACTTTCTTTTCATCCTTTCCTTCTATAGTTCCCATTATGTATATGTTGGTATGTGTGATAGTGTCCAACAAGTCTCTCAGGATCTGTCCAGTTTTCTTCATTCCTTATCCTCAGACTGGATAATCTTGATCAAACTATCTCCCATCCTATGGAGAAGGCTTTTCATAGTGAGTTAAATTCAAGTCAGTTTTATAAGTGAAGTCTTCTAGAAAATCACCAGACATGTCAAATAATAATCAGTCTTTGGGAATAAAGCCTTGAAAGAAATCTAGTTCCTTTTTACTTCTTCTGATGTCTGCCAGTCTGTGATAGGAATATGGGTTGTTATTTTTTAAGGCCTCTGCTGAGTTGGGAAACAAGGGATAGGTCTAGGACAAGTGGAAATGCCATATAGTTTCTGGTTCTTACACAGATTCGTCTGCCTCACTCTCCAATTGCTGTAAGGTTTTTAAAATTTCCAGAGCCCTGAAAAAGTTAATTGTGATAGTTTTTACCAGGCTTTTTATTGATTTTGTGGAGGAATTAATTTCAGAGTCCTTACTCTGCCATCTCCACTGGATTTGTTTTCTTATCTGAACCTCCTGAGGACTTCTTTGTGCTGTTTGGCTGGGCAAGATTTGAGAGAAAAGAAAATTCACCTAGCCTGAGTTTCTCAATGTTACATGGAGACCTTGTCTCAAGTGCATGAAACTACAAAGGCCCTGGTAGAAGAAGGTGAGATTCCATTCTAAGCAGCTCAGCTCTTGTAAGTGATGAATAGGATGAGACCGATTTAACTTGTGAGTAGAAAGGTGAGAAAAATGAACCTACCAGAAGAGAATAAGATTATCTAAATGAGAGGAAGATAAGGCCTATTAGAGATGATGAACCTTAGAAACAGAATTAAAAAAAAAGAAGAAATGAAAGCAAACATTCTTTTTAATTTGATAAATCACCTTTTTATCAGAAACCCAGAATAGAAATCAGGAAAGGTCACAGTAAACACATTTTCTCCTTCAATGTTTGATATCCTTTGTCAGCCAAAATCTTTGGGGATGAAGAAACACTGCCAGTGGGGCCCAGTGGTTCAGGCCTGTAATCCTAGCACTCTGGGTGGCTCAGCATTTGAAACTGGCCTGAGCAAGAGTGAGACCCCACATCTCTAAAAAAAGAAATAGCCAGTCATTGTGGCAGGTTCTTATAGTCCTAGCTACTTGGGAAGCTGAGGCAAGAGGATTTTTTGAACCCAAGAGTTTGAGGTTGCTGTGAGCTATGATGCCATGGTACTCTACCTAGGACAACAGAGTGATAATCTGAAAAGAGAGAGAGACCACCTACAAGAAATGAAACTGTTTTATTGTTGCTTTCTCTGTAATCTGTTTAGGCCTCCCTGGCTTCACAGAGACAGTTCAGGAAGAGTTCTTCATCATAAGCCCAATATAAGGTAACTGAACTTTGACCAGTGTCACTGGCCACCACTACCATCTTGGCTTCTTGCTCCAATAAAATCTGTGTCCCTGAGGTCTCAATGACAATGAGCATCACTGGCCACCACTACCATCTTGGTTTCTTGTTTCAGTAAAATCTGTATCCCTCAGGTCTCAATGATAATCAGCATGGCTGGCCACCGCTACCATCTTGACTTCTTATTTCAATAAAATCTGTGTCCCTGAGGTCTCAATGACAATCAGCATTGCTGGCCACCGCTACCAGCTTAGCTTCTTGTTCCAATAAAATCTTAGTCCCCAAGGTCTCAATGGCAAATGTGTGTAGGTTTAACTGTGTGTTAGGGTTCCATTCCTGGCCAGCACCTGATTAAAAAACTTTTATCTAACATTTTATCTAACCTGGGAGAGAAGAACTCACTATATGTTCATCTTGTACTGTTAAACAACTCTGTTACCAGCAATACTATGTTTGTTGTCACACAATTCTCTTACTGATAATGCTGTACCTATTGTAACAGAACAATTCATGATTTTGATGAATGTGCACATCATCCAGAAAGCCTATAAAATGTACATCCTGAGGCTTACCCCTCAGAAATTCCAAATTCCTGTAACTTAGTGTAGGACCCAGGGATTTACAATTTTAAACACCACCCCGAGTGATTCTAATTCAACTGGCATATGGATTGTATTTTCAGAAACAATACTTTAACAAATCTATACAATTTTTGTTTTTGTTAAAAATAAGTTCTTCAAAAGGGTGGGCTGAAGGAAAGAAAACCAATGACTTAGAATTCAAAGAAGCTGATGGTACCTTCACAGTAGTGATTCTCAAGCTTTGGCCTATATCAGAATCACCTGAAGGGCTTGTTATAAACGATTTCTGGGTGCCACCTGTAATTTCTGATGTGGCAGGTTTGTGGTGAGGCCCCCAATTTTAATTTTTCACACATTCATAGACGATGCTGAGGCTGCTGCTCCAAGCACCATAGTTTGAGAACCACTGGTTTATTTTTAGGAGAGTGTAATTACTCCTGCCAACATGAAGGGTATTTGCTTTATGTTCTATTAATTCCTTATAAATATCAAACGTACATGGGAGTAAATAATATTTGTTGAATTTCTATTATGTTTCTTTCTTTTTAATTCTCAGAACTTCCCAGCACAGCAGATTCATAGAAGTTATATAATTTACTCAGGTAACCCAATGGATAAGTGTTGAATCAGCATTTAAATATAAGTTCATAGCAAAATTACACTTGTATCTTATGCATATATACAGATAATACTTTTAAAAGAATCTAAAAAAAAAATCAAATATAAGTTCAAAGGACCTATCCAAGTTCTTTTGCAATTGGAATCTTATAAACCACTTCATTAGCAAAGTAAAATAGTAATTATAAAGAACACAGATCTCATAATTTACTTGGTGCCGAGCTATTAGCTACTTTAACATCAGGGATCAGATCACCCTGCAAGACTACAGAGAAACTTTAAGAACCACCCTTTACAAAGAGGGATCTTGACTTTCTGCCAATAACCCTATCTGTTGAGACCTGTCGTACTGGGGGAAATCCTTTGGTCAAATAATCAGATGACTTAGAGGTAAATCCTGGCTCATCCACTCTATAGGTTAACTTTGGTAGGGGTATTACATTCCTTGAGCTTTAGTTTCTTCCTTTGTATCATAGAGATACTTACACCATAGCCACAGGGCTTAAAATAATCAATACAGAGCATTTAAAATAGGATCATGCCTGGCATCAGACATTCTGGGTTTTTAAGATGTTTAACAATTGTCAGCTGAAATTGAATCTCCAGCTGCCCCAGGAAGTCTTTCTTTGGCTTTCTTTTCCTACTGCCCACAGTTCTTAGTGTTTGAGTCATATATTTTGGTGTCTTTGATTCCACTGAAATTAGCATATCGCAATACTCACGTTTACGTACACAAAGCACCTGCTGAGTGTCAAGCACACAGCCCTGCATGCCTGACTTCCTATTATTAATATATAGAGTAAGATAATTTCCATGTTCTATAATGGCATAATGGTAACCTTTTCTCCTTATGAATTATGAAGACCAGAATATCATTATAGACCTCATTTTAAAATACTAATTTTAGCTAGTATAGTATTGAGCTGAAGTTAGTAATATGTACTCATCAGATTAATATGTAAAGCTTTATAGAAAATCTGTATGTATCGAGAGGATATAAAGCAGTAAGATGCAAGAAAAAACATCTTACTGATTATAAAATTATTAAAAATGTGACTTCATATTATATATTCATGTAATTATGAGACCTCTAGAGGAAATAATTATTGGAATAAACTAATATACCCCTTGCAGAGAGGAGGTGCTCAGAGAATATGAATTTAAAAGGCCTTTAACATTATGCTTTTAGTTCTCTTCTGACATTATCTTACATGTATCCAGAAGATAGTAGATAGAAATATTCAGAAGCATAAAACTTATAAAAATTTAAAAATGCAGTTTTGTTCTTTTGATTAAAATTCAGTGCTTAGATTTATATACTAAAGAATCAAATCCGGTTGAGATTTGAAAACTTAGATATTTCTAAACTGGAGTGCTTATTTAGAACAAAGTATACACTTACCAAATGCA